GTTTTTCCAGTTTTCATTTCTTTCTGATGTTTTGGTGTTTCAATTTTTAAATTTTTCAACTTTTCGTATCAAAAAAATGGAAAAAATGCAGAATTGTAAAATTGAAAAATCAAAAATGAAAAAACGAAAAAGTATAAAATAAAAACTTTGAAAAATCTAAAAATTGTAAATTAAGACCTTAAAAATCCCAAAAATTGCACAATGGAAAAATTTATAAATTGGAAATTCGAAGAACTGAAAAATCACAAATTGAAAATTTGAAAATTGAATAAACGGTAAAATGAAAATTAAACATTGAAAACTTGGAAAACTGGGGAAACGAAAAATTGAAAAATTGAAAAATTAGAAACTCAGAAAGTGGCAAATCGAAAAAATGAAAAATTGAAATAAGGAAACGGAAAAATTATAAAACCGAAAGATCAAAAACTTCAGAAATCGGAAAATCGGGTAATCAAGAAATCTCAAAAATTGCAACATTTAAAAATTTAAAAATTGGAAAATCGAGGAACTGAAAGATCACAAATTGAAAATTTGGAAAATTGAATAATAAAAAATCATAAAATCAAAAGAAATATTGAAAAAACAACAGAAATGAGGAAAGGAAAAATTCTTGTATGAAATCGAGAAAGTGAAAATAAAAAATCGGGAAAATGGAAATTAAAAATAAAGAACTTGAAAAATTGAAGAAACGAAAAATTGAAAAATCAAAAATTGAAAAATAAAAATCAAGAACTTGAAAAACTGAAGAAATGAAAAATTTAACAAATCGAAATATCAAAAATTAAGGAACTTAAGAAATCGGAAGATCGGATGATTGAAAAATCCCAAAAATTGCAAAAATTTAAAAATTGAAAAATTGAAAAATCAGAAATTGTACATTTGAAAAATTGAATAAACGAAAAATTCTTATATGAAATCGGGAAAATGAAAATAAAAATATCAGGAAAATGAAAAATTGAGAAAATGCAAATCGAAAAATTGAAGAAACGAAAAATTATCAAACCGAAACATTGAAAAAACGAAAAATTTTAAAAATAGATAAAATGAAAAATCGAAATACTGTTGACATCGAAAAACTGGAAAATTAATATTTAAGAAAATGAAAAATTATAAATTAAGAACAAAAAAACGCGACGAAACTTAAAATTGAAAAATCAAAAATTTGTAAAACTGACAAATTGAAAGATAAAAATTTAGAACTGAAAATATTGGAGACACGAAAAATTTTAAATCAAAAAATTAAAAATTGCGAAACTAAAACATCACACAAACAAACATTGAAATTGAAAAATATCAAAAATTGCAAAATTGAAACATTTAAAAATTGGAAAATCGATGAATTGAAAAATCACAAATCAAAAATTTGATAAAACAAAGGAAATGAAAAAGGAAAAATTCTTATATGAAATCGAGAAAATGGAAATAAAAAAATCGGCAAAGTGAAATTAAAAATCAAGAACTTGAAAAACTGAAGAAACAAATAATTGAAAAATCCCAAAAATTGCAAAATGGAAAAATTTAAAAATTGGAAAATCGAAGAACTGAAAAATCACAAATCAAAAATTTGAAAAAACAAGGGAAATGAAAAAAGGAAAAATTCTTATATAAAATTGAGAAAATGGAAACAAAAAAATCGGAAAATGAAAATTAAAAATCAAGAACTTGAAAAACTGAGGAAACAAATAATTAAAAAATCTCAAAAATTGCAAAATGGAAAAATTTAAGAATTGGAAATCGAGGAACTGAAAAATTATAAATTAAAAATTTGAGAAATTGAATAAAAACGAAAAATTATAAATTCGAAAGAAATATTGAAAAAACAACGTTGAAGAAAAAAGAAAAAATTCTGACATGAAAGCGAGAAAATGAAAATTCAAAATCGGAAAAATGAAAATTAAATATCAAGAACTTCAAAAACTGCGGGAACGGATAATTGAAAAATTTGGAAGTCGAGAATTTGAAAAATCGATAAAATTTTAAGATGAAAAAATGAAAAATCATATAACCGAAACATTAAAAAATCGAAAAATTGAAAAAACGAAAAATTGAGATATCAAAAAATTGCGATTTCGAAAAATTAAAAATGGAGAAAACGAAAAATTTTAAATTAAGATCTTGAAAAATTGAAGAAATGAGAAATTGAAGACTTTGGAAGTCGAGAAACTGAAATATTAAAAAAAAAAACAAAAATTATAAAACCGAAATATTGAAAAATTAAAAATCGAGAAAATAAAAAATTATACATTTGGAACTTGAAAAATTAAAGAAACGAATAACTGGACAAGAAAAATTTTAAAATGAAAAATTGAAGAACTTCAGAAATCGGAAAATGCAATATAATTAAAAAATCCCAAAAAATGCAAAATAGAAAAATTCGAAAGAAATATTAAAAAACAACGTAGATGAAAAAAGGAAAAATTCTTATATGAAATCGAGAAAACTAAAATAAAAAATCGAAAAATTGAAAAAATAAAGAAAACGAAAAAAACGAGAAATTGTGACTCCAAAAAAATTGCGACTTCGAAAAATTGAAAAAATTAAAAATGGAGAAAACGAAAAATTTTAAATTAAGAACTTGAAAAATTGAAGAAATGAGAAATTGAAGAATTTGGAAGTCGAGAAACTGAAATATTGAAAAAAAAAAATTATAAAACCGAAATATTGAAAAAATAAAAATCGAGAAAATGAAAAATTATACATTTGGAACTTGAAAAATTAAAGAAACGAAAAACTGGACAATAAAAATTTGTAAAACTGTGAAAATGAAAAATAAACATCAAGAACTTGAAAAATTGACGAAACGAAAAATTTTAAAATAAAAAATTTAAGAACTTCAGAAATCGGAAAATTGAATAATTGAAAAATCCCAAAAAATGCAAAATAGAAAAATTCGAAAGATATATTAAAAAAACAACGTAGATGAAAAAATCGAGAAATTTGAAATAAAAAATCGGAAAAATAAAAATTAAAAATCAAGAAATTGAAAAACTTAGGGAATGGATAATTGAAAAATTGAATCGAGAATTTGAAAAATCGATCAATTTTTAAGATGAACAAATGAAAAATTATAAAACCGAAACATTAAGAAATTTTAAATTACGAACTTGAAAAATTGATAAATCAAAAATTTGTAAAACTGAGAAATTGAAAAATAAAAATCTAGAACTCGAAAAACGGAAAACGAAAAATTACCAAACCGAAACATTGAAAAATGGAAAAATTAAAGACTTAAAAAAAAAATTGGTCAAAGTTAAATAAATCCAGATTTTTCGAAAAATTATAGGTAAGATTTGATTTCGCGAATTTTATTTTTTATAGTATATACATACACATTTATAAATTAAAATAAAGATATGTCTGTTGTTTCAAGTCAACATTTTTTTTAAAGACACGTATATCAATTTGGATAGATGCAATACTAATAATAACAGTACTAGACGGACGGTCAGTCAGACCGAAACGGGGGACCACTTTATTCATACTCTAGGGCTCATGAAACGACAAGAAAACATACAAGAACTAAATACTTTTTTTTTTTCTGTAAATTTGCCCAAGGCGTTATCAATTATCAGTATTATCACTTACCACTGCACCAGAAATAAAAAATTAAGGTGAATATTTCTAAATACAAAGGCAGTAAAAATACGAAATATGCATGGTAGTATAAAATTCACTTTTACAGAGAACATGTTTACTCGAATATGAATAATAATGCAATATACAAAGTCTGACCTTCAGAAAACACTACCATAGATAACACTGGAACTTTTATTGAAGAAGTTCAGTGTTAAGGAGACAGTGTTGAAACAATATTGACTTATAAAATCTTAACACGATTAATTGACGTTTTCTAAAAAAGACAAAAAGGGCGTCATTTCTAAACTTTTTTATCTAAATTTACTCCAGCTAATTACACATTCTAAAAATGAGAATACCAACTTAATTGTACCACTGACATTAAAGAAAAGCGATCGTAAATGTAAAGTTATGGTGCATAAATAAGTTCACTATTTGTATTCACAGAACAAAAGAAACAAACATGCTTTGAATGCAGCACTAAATTCACAAATAGACACCGAATAAAGTTTGATTTCTTAAAAATTGATTATTTTTCATTGTGTGTTATATCGACTTTAATAGCCGATGCACTTATCCCGAAAATCACATTATGGAATGAAATTTCCACAAATTCACACAAATAGCAAAACATTTATAATTATCGATAATTATTCAACAAGAATCTTGAACTTCGGTTTTGATTTAATATTCATGTTTTACATAATCCGCTTCTAATGAGCTGTCAATTCACCTCGACTCAAAAACGAGAAACACAATTCAGGTAGCGATATTAAACCGCAAAAACACGACTAAAATATTTCAGCCTTGCACATTACCGATCGTTCACACCTTGAAATTAATTTAGTACAATAATCTTGTTTTACAACTTCCAGTTGACACGTTCTACGTAAATACCGATATTGATAACAAGCAACAAGCAACAAAGGTACGCTAAAAACATCTACATAAAAAATTGGCAAACCTAGAGGCTATTAAATTAGAATTCGACATACAAAAGGCAAAAACCCTGGACTTGGGAAGCCAGATGACTCAGTCCAATTTGCGTGGAATCCCCACTAAAAGTCAAACTATGTGAATGATCGGGGGCACCACGCTGAATCACGCGCCCATTTGGAATCCCGTGGACTTTTTTGTACCAAGTTGCGTACATCAAGGCCACCGAAACGAACAATTTTGAAAAACAGGAATTGCCACAGGCTACACAGCCGAAAGGTACAGCCTGAACAGGTTCCTAATTACTATTCATCCGAAGACAACAAGCCAACTCGGCTTGGCGTCAGTCTCGACTTCGTCTTGCCACCTTGCCAAAAATTTGGGTTTCACTTTACTGCGCTGTCACGAACGCAGCGTAATCGTGCTGTAGCGGTTTCATTCATACCTTGATCCGCCTTGACTCTATTTGTGGTACCACTTATACCTACCGGTTCGAGTTTGGGAGTAGTGTCTGTGTTGGCTTGCACTACGAAAACACACACAAATAAAACACACCACAGCATTTCGGTCTGAGTTTTCACTGACAGGCTTCGAACGAATATTTTATGACACTTGCAGCACTATTACATAACTACATCATTTTTCAGTCTTCCGGTTGTACTGCTCGCGGCGTGTTTGGTCGTACTACTACTCGCTCCAGCACGCCAGCATTTTAATATGAAGACGAGGCTCGAAATTGAACTGGGGCCACGCGACTTGGCGGCTCGCGGGGCTGAGTTGGAGTGACTGATATTTAGAGCGATAGATTGATTAAATAAGATAATGGGCTGATAGGTGCGTTATCGAATTATGTGGCGATCTTACTTAACCTTGTCGGGCTATTACACTTTAATTAAGTCACCCAAACCGGCTAAAGGTCTCCGAGAGAATAGATCAGACTTCGGCCGGCAAGAATTTAGTACATATTTTGAAACATTATGCAAAATGTTCCGGGTTAGTTTTAGTGATTTTGTTTTCAGAACGCTGCGTATCTGGGTGATAGAAGTATGTATGGTGGCTTTAAATTCAGACATAAAAAAGTATTCGTATGTCTGGTAAGCAATATTAACTTGTCTGTGAAGAGTATAATCGGTGTGTTGTGCTCCACGAGGTTAAGTTAGTCATAATTTTTTATGCAGAGGAGATACCTAATCATAATGTGAGAACGTCAAAGTTGAACCAGATCACGCAATAATGTATTACGTAGGTCCGTAACGTAAAATCAATTTAGGGGAGATTTCTAAAAGTCTAGGAGGGGCGATGTTGTCCTATAAGGAATAACTGCTGTCCTTAATAGCGTTGGGTGACTGTTTTCTAATAAAAAATTGCTCCAGAGTTTTTTCGACAGATTGCGATTTTTATTTTCTGATAACTTCCATTAAATAAAAACTAGTTTTTTTGTTTCTTCAGATTTGCAGTTTGCAATTTTTCGACTTTTCAAGTTAAATTTTTTATTTATTTATTATAATTTTTTCAATTTTTCGGTTCTTCAATTTTCGATTTTTTAATGTAGGAATTTTATAACTTTTTGGTTTTTTAATTTAAATTTTTTCAATTTTTCGTTGCTGCAATTTCTTAGTTTTTCATTTTTCTGTTTCGTTAATTTCACGATATTTATCTCTTCGAGTTTTCATTTTTAAATTTTCCAGTTTTCCGATTTTCCAACTTTTGGACGTTGAAATTTAAAAATTTTGGAATTTTTCAATAAGCAATTTCATGAGTTTTCAGTTTCATGTGTTTTCGATTTCTCAACTTTTCATTTCTTCAGTTTTTCGTTTCGGTTTTTTATTTCTATTATTTTCTCAATTTTTCGGTTTTTCAGTGTTTTGAATTTATTATTTTCGTTTTGAAAATGTAAAAGTTTTGAATTTTTAGATTTTTTATTTTTCCTTTTCTTCAATTTTTGATTTGCAGTTTTCTGGTTTTCATTTTAAACGTGTATTTAATAATTTTTCAATTTTTCGATCGACAGTATTACAGTTTGTCGACATTACAGTTTTGACGATTCCAAAATTTTTCGATTTTACAATTTTTGGGTTTTCCAATTTTTCCCTGCATTATTTTTTTCCATTTTCAAGTTTCTGGATTTTTAGTTTTCCAATGTTTGACTTTTTGTTTCTTCAGTTTTTCGAAAGAGTGCAAAATTGAAAAAACGAAATATTGTAAAATACAAATAATAATCCCAAAAATAGCTAAACCGAAAAATTTCAAAATTAGAGAAATTGTAATTTCCCGCTTTTTCAGTTCTACGATTTTTCAATTTTGCGAATCAAATGAAAAAAATTACGCAACTGTTAAAGTAAAAAAACCAAAAACGAAAAAACAGATAAGTACACAATAAAAATTTCGAAAAATCAAACATTCTAAATTCAGAACTTAAAAAAATTGGAAAAATCAAAAATTGAAAATTCGAAAAACTCCAATATTATTTTTTCGGTTATTTATTTCTATTATTTTCTCAATTTTTCGGTTTTTCAGTGTTTTGAATTTATAATTTTCTTTTTAACAATGTAAAATTTTTGAATTTTTAATTTTCCAAATTTTGGATTTTTTATTTTCTCGTTTCTGCAATTTTTGATTTGCAGTTTTCTGGTTTTCATTTTAAACGTGCATTTAATAATTTTTCAATTTTCCGATTTTTAATTGCAATTTCTCTATGCTCCACTTTTTCGATTTTGCAATCTCTCGCTTTTCTCTTTTTTTTCTCCCTTTTTTCCTAAATTAATAACTTGAAAAACCTGAATAAATGCGAAAGTGAAAAATTTGAAGATTAACGTGAGCAACTTAAATAAATATTGTAAAATCCAAATATTTAATCCCAAAAATGCAAAATTGAAAATTTTCAAAATTAGAAGCATTGAAATTTCTCGCTTTTTCACTTTTACGATTTTTCAACTTCTCGAATCAAATAAAGGTAAAATTACACAAGTGTAAAACTAAAAAACCAAAAATGAAAAAACAAAATAGTACAGAATAAAAATGGTGAAAAATCAAAAATTCTAAATCAATAACTTAAAAAAATTGGAAGAATAAAAAATTGAAAAATCGAAAAACTCCAAATTCGAAAAAAAAACAAAATATTGTAAAATCGAAATATTGGAAATAAAGAAATCAGAAAATTGGATAATTGAGAAATCCCAAAAATTGCAAAATTGAAAACTTTAAAAAATGGTGGATTTGAAACTTTTGCAGTTTTTCGATTTTTCAATTTTTACCGATTTTTAGTTTTTCGATTTTTAATTCTTCCATTTTTCAATTTTTAATTCTCCGATTTTTCAATTTTTCGTTTTTTCAACTCTTCATTTCTTCAGTTTTTGTTTGGGTTATTTATTTGTATTATTTTCTCAATTTTTCGGTTTTTCAGTGTTTTGAATTTATAATTTTCTTTTTGACAATGTAAAATTATTAAATTTTTGATTTTCCAACTTTTGGATTTTTTATTTTCCCGTTTCTGCAATTTTTGATTTGCAGTTTTCTGGTTTTCATTTTAAACGTGCATTTAATAATTTTTCAATTTTCCAATTTTTAATTGCAATTTCTCTATGCTCCACTTTTTCGATTTTGCAATTTCTCGCTTTTCTCTTTTTTTTTCTCTTTTTTCCTAAATTAATAACTTCAAAAACCTCAATAAATGCGAAAGTGAAAAATTGGAAGATTAACTTGAGCAACTTAAATACATATTGTAAAATCCAAATATTTAATCCCAAAAATTGCAAAATTGAAAATTTTCAAAATTAGAAGAATTGAAATTTCTCGCTTTTTCACTTTTACGATTTTTCAACTTTTCGAATCAAATAAAGGAAAAATTACACAACTGTAAAACTAAAAAGCCAAAAATGAAAAAACAAAAGAGTACAGAATAAAACTTTTGAAAAATCAAAAATTCTAAATGAGAAATTGAAAAATAGAAAACCTAAAAATTGTGCAACTTAAAAATGGAAACAGTACAAAATCGAAAAAGTGAAATATGTATTAAAAAATCAAAATATTGAAAATTAAAGAAATCAGAAAATCGGATAATTGAAAAATCCCAAAAATTGCAACATTGAAAAATTTAAAAGTTGGTGGAATTGAAATTTCTCGTTTTTCGAAACAAAAAAAAGGAAAAATTGCAAAAATGTAAAACTAAAAAATCAAAAATGAAAAAACGAAAGAGCACAAAATCAAAATTTTGAAAAATCTAAAAAATCTAAATCAAGAACTTGAAAAAATTGAAGAAATCGGAAATCGAAAAATCGAAACAAAAAATTAAAAATCGAAAAAGTACAAAATCGCAAAAACGAAATATTCCAAAATCTAAATATCAAAAAATAAATCGGAAAATCGGCTAATTATTGAGAAAATCAAAAATCGCAAAATTGAAAAATTTTAAAATTGGAGGAATTGAGAATTCGAAAATGAAAACGATGAAATACAAAGTGAAAAATTTGGAAAATCTAAAAATTATAAATCAAGAACTTGAAAAAAAATTGAAGAAATGAGAAATTGAAAAATCGAAAAAGCACAAAATCGAAAAAACGAAATAATATTGTAAAATCTAAATATCAAAAACTAAATAAATTGTAAAACTGTAAGATTGAAAAATCAAAAACGAAAAAAAAATAATAAAGGACAAAATGAAAATTTTGAAAAATCTAAAAATTGTAAATCAAGAACTCGAAACAATTGAAGAAATGAAAAATTGAAAATTCCAAACAGTGCAAAAATTGAGAAAACAAAATACATATTAAAAATTAAAGAAATTGGAAAATAGGCTAATTGAGAAATTCAGAAATTGAAAAATTTTAAAATCATAGGAACTGAAATGTTTTGCTTTTCAGTATTTCGATTTTTCATTTTTTTTAATCAAAAGAAGAAAAATTTTTAAAATAGTAAAGTTGAAAATTCAAAAATGAAAACAAAGAAGTACAAAGTCAAAAATTTGTAAAATCTAAAAATTCTAAACGAAGAACTTGACAAAAATTGAAGAAATGAGAAACCGAAAATTCGAAAAAGTGCAAAATGGAGAAATCGAAAAATCGGCCAATTGCGAAACCCAAAAATTGCAAAATTGAAAAATTTAAAAATTGTAAGAACTGAAATTTCTCGCTTTACAGTTTTTCGATTTTTCAATTTTTTCCGATTTTTAGTTTTTCGATTTTTAATTCTTAGATTTTTCAATTTTTCGAATCATCAGAAGGAAAAATTTTAAAATTGTAAAATTGAAAATTCAAATATGAAACCGAAGAAATACAAGGTGAAAAATTTGGACAATCTAAAAATTCTAAATCCAAAACCTAAAAAAAAGTGAAAAAATGAGAAATTGAAAAATCGAAACAAAAAATTGAGCAACTTAAAAGTGCAAAATCGAAAAAAAGAAATATGTATTCTAAAATCTAAATAACAAAAATTGCAAAATTGAAAAATTTAAAAATTGGAGAAATTGACATTTTTCGCGTTTTCAGTCCTGCGATTCTTCGACTTTTTTCCGATTTCTGGCTTTTCGATTTTTAATTTTTCGATCTTTCAACTTTTCGAATCAAAAAAGCAAAAATTCTGAGACTGTAAAATTGAAAAATCGAAAAAACAAAAAAGGACAAAATTAAAATTTTAAAAAATCTAAAAATTGTAAATCAAGAACTTGAAAAATAGAAGAAATGAAAAATTGAAAATTCGCAAAAGCGCAAAATCGAGAAAACGAAATATTGTAAAGTCAAAAATTAAATAAATTCCAAAATCGGCTAATTGAGAAAT